AAAACCAACGTCATGCTTTATCTTACTGGTACTATAGTTAAATTGTAGCATTAGATTGTTCGCTGTATTATATCTGTGTATAACAATACACGTTCCTGACTAAGTAGCGACTGAGGCGGTGATGTTCCTGACTAAAGTAGTGAATGAGGCTCCCAGGACCAGCCTCGGCGAAACGCAGTCACGACGTCCTGTTATAATTGTTACCACCACTTGTATCTAGATTTTCAATGCATCACCGGCACATGCAGCGTCCACACGGAGCGGCTGTTTGATCAAACACTGCAGACCAACGTTGAAAAGGTCATTGGTGCGTCCAGTCTCATTCTAAATATCTCCACTGGCCAGCCTCAGCTCGGTGCAAATGGAAGGATGAATACTCATAGATTGTTCTCTCTTATTCCCGGTACGTCGAGACGATAACGCACAGGTCATGACGATTATAGAACCACTGGACGATCCACAACTACGCATACATACGCCGTCCTGGTTCGTTGTTTAGCTCCTCAGCACCGGAATAAGTCACCCGTTCGCAGTCACCTTCTATTAGTATGATATTCACGATTACGCGCTCAACGGAGTCTGCCTTGCTGGATTGACTAAGACTGACGGCAATATCTAGCTAAATTACCCAAAGTCATCCCCTCAAAACTTGTCTTTCGAGAGATAACCCAACCCTTTGACTATCGATGTGTATCCCACCAAACATTTCCAAGTCGAAGTGGTGATTGCCAATGTTCCTCTTGTTAACTAATTCTTCATTACTCAGGAGCAAACTCTTCGTCAGCTTGGTGTCACTGCACTCGTTATCGCTGGAGGACAGCCCGCCCACCGCTTGACGGAAGACTTCCTGTCTCTTGCTTTCTCCCGAACAATTCGTACTCAAACAATTTTCTTTCTTGCAAAAAATGCTGATTTCAGCTACTCGAGCTCCCTTGAGGCTACCTATGTAGAATTGAAGACAGAATACTCAGGCACTTGACGATTAATCTCAAAAAATCTCAAAATAGCCGTGACCAAATTCGAAAATGACGGAGAAATCCAAATTCGATCGACCCCTAGACTCTCGCCCTCTGTTTTCTCACCCTACTTTCCATGTTTCTCTCTTTTCACTATTTTCCCCCTCTCTTGAATACTGAGATAGGTCCAGATCTCCCCCAATATAAATCTCTAACGATGCACGACATACATCTATGCTATTCCAATCATGCTAGTCCAATCGACCTTGTCATACTTCTTCTTGAAGTCGACAACCACCCTTAATGATTTCGCTCCGTTTCCTAGATCTAATATACCAAAAGGTCGAGCCGTAAAAGACGACTTTGTCGACTGTCGAAAGCTAGTCTTTGAGACAACGCTCCTCCAAAAAAAAATACCAAAAGGTTATCAATTTCGGACAGTCTCTACCACCTTCTTAACTACTTGATCTCGGATCTACTTCGTTGCTCACTCACGGGAGGTATGTTTTTTCGCTTGTATTGTATTCGCGTTTACTCATCTTGTCTGTGACGTCCGCGGGCCGGCCTGGCACCTCTAAGATAACTCGGCATGATTCTTCGGCAATCTACTGGCCTCCTTCCGACTTTTCCTTTGTTCGCCCTTTAAAAGCCCAACCCACCTACCACGCTCTCAGAGTCCCTTCTTTCTTCCTTACCACCAAGGTCTGTCCTTCCTTAACTATCTTTTGACTAAGACTCATCTTTCTCTCTTTCATCTCTTTCGGCTCATCTCACGCGGAAACAAAATCAGAATGCTGGAAGACGTCGTGTTCTACGCCCTAATGCCTTTTTCTCTTGTCGGAATCGCAGGTCTTTTCAAGGGTCTCATTACCGTTGACGATTTGAAGCAGGTCGGACACGAGATCGCTCTCGAGATCAAAGACTATTAGTGCGTCTCTTTGTTCTTTGTTGTACACGTTCCTCATTCAAAGCGTCTCCAGCCAAGTTCGATCTGCATCGTACTTCAAATCAATCCATGGTCTTCTGGAGACAGCTGGGCAGTGCCAAGGCGCCTTGTGAGTTTTTGCGTCTCTCTGACACCCTTCGTAAGCACTGATTGTCCGTCCGCGACTTGCTTCGCCGCCATCGAATTTCTTTCATCAGCGATGCTCACTTTGATCCATCTGCCTGGATGGTACTTCTCGGCTTCCTCATCGGATTTATCTCTGCTTGGGTCCTGTTTATTTTGCTGCTCGTGAATTTTGCTGCTAAGAAAACTGATAATCGACCACGAGTTGCGAGGCGCACCTAGACACAGAAGAGCCTTCAGATCTGTTCACATCTGAATTTTTCTTTATGCAATTGTATTTTTCTAGTTACTTTGGCCTGTAGACCAGAAATGCCTGTGTTCTACTTGTATACGTACTTACCCCTTTTAGGGGTTAAGGTCTTGTCGTGTTGACCCAAAAAATCAATTTTGTAGTGGTTTAAAGTCACTTTTTTTGTAATACTGATTCGCTGATGTGTAACTTGATTGCCTGACGTTCATGATCAAGAGGAGGCTCGAAGCCGTCCAAAGGGAGAGCGGTGAGAAGTTCTTCAACTTACCGCTGGCCCTTACTAGTTTCACGCTGACTAATAATAGCGTGAGAGAGTCTGAATGTATTGACCGGTTGGGTCGTGATTCAAAATCGGATCCGGATTCCACATCTCGAGCTGGAAGTTGAACAATTACCGGACCTCTTGCCTCTCGTTCAAAATCCATTACTTGCCATGTCACACATTCTTTTCCATCGTTCTGTGCTCCAGCGTAACATGTCCACCAGTACTTATCTCAGGCTGTTCGATCTACGTAAAGTATATGTCGTCGTGGATCCATGTCCCTGTGGCCCCTCCGACGCTTTACTCCGGTCTTCGTCCTTTATTAGTTCTTTCCTGCTCATAATTTTCTGTTACTTCTTTTTTGTCTCTTCATCTGCTGTAATTGCAATTAAATCGCTCTCATCCCTCAATCTTTGCTTCATATCTGCCCTCAAAATCATTGGAACTCCACATTCCAGCTACTTTAGGACCGTTTCTTTTGCCAACCAACTTTGGAGACCACTACCCTGCTTTCTTTTCTTCGGATCTATCTCTCACTGGTTATTCAATAACTTGCCTCATCTGGAGGATTTCCATTCGACTGGACAAGAGCTTCAAGGATAGCATCTATGTTGGAAGGCTGATTTAGTGGAGTGGAGACTAATGCAATGGGTGTGTCTGTGTCTTATTCGGAGTCATAGCTCAAGTCGAGCCGGATATGTGATGGCGCGAGTATCCTAACGGCGTGCTATTTATCATCGTCCATAAATTTTCAAGGCGTGATTATACGTATACAGCGTACAAAACTGTTGTCGATTTGCTCGGCAAGATCGAAATATGTAAGAATAAACAACCTGCACTTAAGTACTCACGATCGGGCTTTTTTTTCCAGGTTGAGAGACGGTATGATGTTGATGTGTTACGATGATCAGTTTCCGGCCGGAGGGAGGTCGAAGCTGTGTGTCTTCAATCTTCCTTTACTTCGACCGTCATAGACGAAAAAACGCGTGTTGCTCGAATTCAAGTGTCTGTCATTTATTCGTTTTTCCGACTTTCTTCTATAAAGTCGCTAGAGATATGCCTTCTTTTCGAAAGTACAGTAAACCTAAAATATACGCTAATACTGCGAGGAACCGGAACAAGAATGATGTCTCTTGCTCAGCCACTTGCGTCTAAAAAGTCTCTACTTTGCCGTCCATTTGAACTTGTGGCACCTCCTACCTTCTGCGGACATTAAAATAAGTCGAAGTCTTGCAGATTGTCTGTGTTCGATAATTCACGGGTGTCTTCTATATGATCAATAGTACATCGTGAGTGCACCGAGCGCTAAGTCTCGCTATGATATTCAAGCCACGAACTGGTCTACACCATCTAGGCCTCATTTTCGCAAACTCTGCATTCCCGTTTATCAGCCTATATGATCACACCTGTGAGCCGCTGCTTGTATGATTCTTCAAAACTTTTTTGTGAATCATGTTCTCTTGTTCACAGTATTGCACCGATCACATCAATGCTATTTTCAAAGTTAGGATGTTTACTTGCAACGAAGCCATGTTTATTGTTGGTCGTGTTTTGACTGGTGCAGTCACGGAGCTCGTATACGTCCCCTGCATTGGTAAATCGTTGTTTGCTTGTATTCCATATGCAGTGGTACTCTTCATTGGAACTCCGAATATTGGCAATGGAGACTGCCAAATTTCTACCGCACTTCTCATCGCATACATCTGATGTCCCGAGTCTCCGAAGGAGCCACAGAATGCACTTCTGAGGGAGGATTGGGAAAGTGCGGTGGGCGACCTTTCGTTGGCTTTAGATGGCCTGCTGAGAACAAGGAGAGCCAATGCAAACGCCTGATTCTAGTTCCTCCGTTGTCTAGTTCTTCTGTTGTATTCTAATTCCTCTGTACTAACAGTTGCTGGCAGCGTTCACCCTTATCTAGCCGACAACTCAGTACAGATATATCAATCTATAAGTGTTCCACCGTTTGCATTAAGTCGGATCTCCCCATATCTAACTTTCCTTGCAGCTTGCGTTCCTAGTACAGGCGTCATGATTTTCGCCGTTCTTGTTGTCTACAATCAGAACGAGAGCCAGATGCAGCCACATACACCGATTTTGAAATGAGCCTTTTTAATTATAACATTTGTCCGACGTCCACAACAAACTGTTCGAACCAGTGTTGGAAGGGCAAAGGATAGGTTGTCACCCGGAGGACACCCGACCGTCACCCGACCTTAAAATGTGACCATTCCCACCCAAGGTGAGAAAAAAAGACCGTGCCGGGTGGGCGGCATGGTGACAAATCATAATTTGATTAAGATACCGGAGAAATCAGGAAAGAATGCAGGTCGAAGGCGTGAGACAGGGTCACCCGACCTTAGGGCCTCCGGAGTCCGGGGCAAACTGGAGGTCGGGTATCTCCAGGCTACCTGTCCAACACTGTTCGAACGGCTACAAGGAAGCCCCCAGAACCATGGCTCTGTCGACGCTATAGCGAAGTGGTTAAGGCGACAGAGCAGTACCCATTGAGGATATTTGTACCTCTAAGAGGGCGCAGGTTCAAATCCTGCTGGCGTCATGAGGTTATCGATCTCGGTCTACTTTTACATCTTCGGTTTGGTTCTCATGCTGCCGGCCACTGTTCGCTTTTTCGTTCTTTTTTTCCTTTTTCCTTTTTACGGCCTTTTCTTCTATCCTGTTCGTGTTTTCTTATATGGTTTACATACTTCGTTCTTAGACCATACCTCCAGTCCCCATCATGCCACACACTACCATATCTTCCATCGCTCCTTCACGAAGCGTGTCACAAGTCGGCATCGTTCGTTCGAATCCTTTTATGGATCCGAATCCGTTGCAATTACATACTACGTATACTACCGCTACTACCACTAGTGTTTCTAGTACCGATGCTAAAGTCACTCCTAAGACCGACCATCTTCTTCACCCCTATCCTTCACTCCCTATCCTAAGTCCCAATCCCAACTCCCAATCCTACTAATCCGACATTCCAATTAGGTCAAACGCTACTGCTACAAGTACTGGTGGTGGTGGTGCTGGCCTCCTCTCCTCAATAACCAGGTTCTCTGAATTTGGCGGATCGCGATGACGATACCGTTACCTTTTTCGTCGCCTTTGGGGTTGTCTTTCCCTTTCTCTATGAAGTTTTGTTCTTGTGCCGGACTTACTCTTGTCGAAACTTTAGACCATTGTCTGCAATGGGAAATTTAAGCTTTACTGAATTGTTGGAGGTTTAAACCTCTCGCTATGGAGGCCCAACTTAAAGAGGTATTCTGCTCTCTTTTATTCTTCCAAAGACGATATATAAATGCTTTTTTATCAGCTTTTGCCTTTTCTAAGAGACAAAAATCCTCAAGTCAGACAGATAGTCTTATCGAATCTTGTAGCCCAGACGCCCAAAGCCGCGCCCTACAGAGAAATCTTCTTTTCCGGTTCTGGTGGCCTTAAAAACTCAAAAGACGAAAATGGTGTCATTAGAGACTTAAAACTGCTCTGCAGGGATCAATTAGTGAGCTGCGTCCGCTCCTGCAAACTATTCGGTCTGATCAATCATCGAGACCGTAGGCTGTCGCGCACGATGCTTTTAGAGCCTTGGTCAATCTCTCTGATTCACCAATGCTGGTCTCCTCACTTTCGGAACCTTCGTTTTTGACGTTTTTAGTGTCCTATACCATTGTGCGTCTAACTGCTTTTTTTCTCTTCCTAGACGTTTCCAAAACTTTTGACACCTTGGCCAGAATCCTCAATCGATCCTTGCCGATTTAGCTTCGATGCTCCTATCCAACCTTACTGCATCCTCGACGGCATGCTCCACCGTCCTTTCCATGAAAGTCACTGTCATTGCGAACGAAAAACACCCTAATGGTTTCTACGCATCTCAATCGCGAAGCGGTACATGTGCAGCCCCGGTATCATATCCTTCTGGTGAAGAGCGAGAAGTTCTTGCACTTCCTTTATTACTGGATGCATTTGTTCAAGGTGCTCAGTTGGTCAACGAAGGGGAGGATCTATCGAAAAGAAACAGGAAGGGGAATTTACACTTCATGGCTAGTGTTTTTGCAAACTTAACTTCAGTCAGTTCTTTTGAATAACGATTGTAAGATGGAATCATTAGTCTTGGATGACAGTCTCCAGCTGGCCGCCTTTTCTTCTTCACCCCACAACCCTCCAATATTCTAAAACCTTCTGAAGATCCCCTTGCCAAAGTCGTCTCTTTCACTGAACACAAAGATAGAATAAGGCGGGGTGGTGTCGCATCCACTACTCTATTAAGTACGTACCTGAGTAACCCTTCGTCTTTGTTCAAGCCTAAGATACTTTTCCTTGCAGAAATTGCGCCTTCCACGCACGAGGTCATCGTGCCATGCTCAACACCGAAGACGTCCGTGTGTGCGTCCCTCCTTCTAAAGTAGAGGCACCTGGTATCGAAATCTTGTCATATATCCTCCTGCCACTAGCTGGTCCAGAGGAATATCTAGAGGTTGGTCCTACATTCATCTCCTCGGTCAACTCTCTCTGACGCTCTCCATCTTATCAAATACAGGACCAAGAAAAACTACCGGAATCCCTGCAATTTCTTCCACCGGACAAAAAGCGTGAGCCAGATAACACCTTGAGGCTGACGTATGTCGAAACGCTGTTATTGCTCTGTCATACAAGATGGGGCCGGGACTATCTGAGGGCTAATGGAGTGTATGAAATCGTCCGAGCTGCGCATGAAGCTGAGACTGTCGACAAGGTATATTTCGCTCTCCTTCCCTATCGTTCATTTTATCTATGCTCGCATACGAAAAATATCCTCGTTGATCTTTTTTTTACAGATCTCCGAACACGTCGAGCGCCTCGTCCAGCTCATCAAAGGCGAAGAGCCCTCTCAAGTTATGCCCGAGGAAGAGGAATACGATGCCCTACCGGCGGAAGACCATCTAGATTACTCAAAGATGTTTGATACGAATCCTTTACTTAAGACGTTGCCTTCCTCTGAACCTAGTCGGTCCAAGAACGGCCAAGAAGAGGCAGGAGCTAAGGGGAAGGCTGAAGAAGAGGAGGGGCCAGTCATCGAGGCCCTCGGGGCGGATTCGGACGAGGAGATTGTAGAAGTGTAGAGGAGAGAAGTATGAGATGAGCTATAAATAAAAAATGTAGTGATGCATGATATCTAGATGTAGTTACAAGGTGAGTGTTTCTATTTCCATATCCTTCCTACTTGATCCTTAATTCCTGTTTTTTCTGTTTTGTCTGTGGTTGCCCTATCTTACATATATCAATCCAGTAAGTCAGTATCGGGGGCGAATATAACATGTATGATGTATAAATCTTATGTCGATGTCGAGGTCGTTAGACAAGGTTGGCTTAAAGTTCTATTGATGCTCATTAGACTTGTATTGCCGTTCTTAGACTCATTTTTCTTGAGAAGGCCTATGTATAGCCATACTCTGGCAACCGTGAAGTTGCGTTTGTGGAGTCAACTCCCAATCTCTTCAAATTCGCCCTGTAATCATGAAGCATACTTGACCGCTTTGGCATTTACGTGGCCTAACAACATTACTACACAGCTTTGTGCTGTAGCAATGACGACTGAAAGACCTCAGCTATATATAAGATAGTGTAGCCCCTAGAAATTAAGATCCTGACCATGGATCCTTAAAAACGAGGAGTGTGAGCGTAAGTAAGTTCCTGTCCGCTTTGAACTTTCGATTTCCAACATTCGTGCGTCGGACACCGATCCTCTCATTGCACACATAATTGGATGATTTTGAGACTGTATATAACGAAGAAAGGCCTAGTGCGCACAGGGTACCCTGAGTATACATGGCTTGTGCAAAAAAAAGGATGAGCAGAGGGCAGAAATAAAGATGTGCCGATTCACATTGATTCGCTTTTACCACCCCTCCAGAACCCTACATGTACTACTTTTGATCCCAGCTAGGATCAAAAACGCGCTATATGAGATGTTGAGTGGACACGTCGATAGGAGAAGTGGCAATTTTTCCCGTTTTGACTCGAATTTTACGCATATGTCGCATGTTATATCGCGTTTTGAGTTTTGGAAAGCGTTGTAAATATGTTTATGAGCATTAAAAACCCAGATATCAAACCCAGGATGTCCAGGCACTGAGTGAGGGAGAAGAATGGGTGGAAAAGAACGAAAAAATGCTAAGAAAGAGGTAGTAGAAAAGAAGGGAGGCTACTTCCACGGATTCAAATATTCAGCCTTCAGATGAAAAACACGGTCACGTGAGCATTTGGACCAATTCTCCTTCTCCGACTCGGAGTCCTTGAGTCCACACCCCGTTAAGTAAAATTCCCAGGTACATCTGACCTTTGAAATAATCATCTTCTACCGGCAGATCCACCGTCAGCTATCGGTCAACTAACGGTCAACTAACGGTCAACTAATGGGCCCAACCGGACTTCCGACTTTGGCTCTATGAGCGTACGTTTCTATTTCGGGTTGATATGTATATCGTTGAGCTGTACAGAGCGGATGAATATGTCAGAATACCCGATTTATCGTCGTCGTCGCTGGATTTCAAGGAAACAGAACCGGCATGGATGTAGAAATACGAGGGACTATATACATTTTCGTGCCTTGTGGTACTACGGTATATGTATACGATCGGTTTTGCGAAATAGGATCAGGAAGATAGCAGCAAGGAAAGAGAACCGGCATGGATGTTGAACGTCGCATAGAATGAAAAACGAGGGACTATATACATTTTTGTATCTTGTGGTACTACGGAATATGTATACGATCGGTTTTGCGAAATAGGATCAGGAAGATAGCAGTAACAAACGAACACAGCAAGGCATAAGAACAAGTTGAATAGCAACAGAGACGCTTCACCGCCAAAGCGCAAAAAAAGCATAAATGAAGCGGATTTCCCGATGTTGGTCTCGTGAGACGGAATCGGTAGTGTACAATAGAGGACTAGCAATGACATAGCAGTACGATCAGAAGCGACGAGTAGCGACGTTGCAAAGCGAGGGAAAGCAGAACAAGACCAAATATCTGTCGATAGGACCGTCATTTGTGGCGTCAACGTTGAGTCGAGGACGTATACGCACCTGAATACCATCGATCAATATCAGTTTTCCGCTCCGTTGCGGTTCCCTTCACCATCGAGTCCACCCGGCGTTTCGACATTGTTGCTAATGAGGACTATGGAAAATGTCAGCGGCGTCGGTACACCAACGGAACGCTTACCCATGAATCGGACGCGACACTCGTTAACTGCCACCCATAATTTCCAAAGCGCTTCCATCAAATCCATCCACTCCCGCCAGAGCTGTTCGTTAGACTTTTTGTTTAGCTGTGGAACGTCTTGGAAAGGCATTTCGTTGGATGGGTTAGTCGTCGTCGTTGCGGTGAGTATCGTCGGTGTAATCTGCTGCAAAGAGACAGGAAATGTCAGTTGCAGTCCAAATAGTCGAAGTTTGGCTACCTACATGGAGATGAGCCACTTCAGGCGCTAGTTTTGGGTGGAGGCAGAGCGTGTTTGTAGGGTATTGGTTGATGACGATTGCAGCAGAGGTAAAGGAGGAATTGCTTATGTCGTC